CCGCAGAAGGAAGCGGCGAGGCGCCGAGGTGCAGCCCGACCGCCGGCCCCGCCATGCCCTACGCCAACCAGCCCACGGTGCGCATCACGGAGCTGAGCGACGACAACGTCAAGTTCATCATCGAGAACACCGACCTGGCGTGAGCAGCGGCAACCGGGCGCCCGCCTCCCCCTGCCCAGAGCCGGCCCGGGCCCGGGGAGGGGGGGGTCTCTGCACGGCCAAGCCGCCCTGGACACGCGGGGCTTTCCCTGCCCCGTCCCTGCGTGGGGAGATCCAACCATGGCCAGCAGGTCTGGACAGGAGGATCTCTCCCTCCCCCATCCCTGCATGGGGAGATCCAGCCATGGATAAGCCAGTCTGGACAGGAGGATCTCTCCCTCCCCCATCCCTGCGTGGGGAGATCCAGCCATGGATAAGCCGGTCTGGACAGGAGGATCTCTCCCTCCCCAATCCCTGCGTGGGGAGATCCACCCACGGCCGGTCTGGACACGCAGGACTTTCCCTCCCCCACCCCTGCATGGGGAGATCCAGCCACGGACAGCCGATCTGGAAACACAGGACTTTCCCTCCCCCATCCCTGCATGGGGAGATCCAGCCATGGCCAGCAGGTCTGGACAGGAGGATCTTTCCCTCCCCCATCCCTGCATGGGGAGATCCAGCCATGGATAAGCCGGTCTGGACATGCAGGACTTTCCCTCCTCCCCCACCCGTGTGGGGAGATCCAGCCACAGCCAGCAAGTCTGGACACGAGGATCTTTCCCTCCTTCCCACCTGTGTGGGGAGATCCAGCCATGGACAAGCCCGTCTGGACATGCAGGTCTTTCGCCCCCAACACCCCTGCGTGGGTATATACAGCCACGGGCAGCTGGTCTGGACACGTGGGTCTTTCCCTCCCCCATCCCTGCGTGGGGAGATCCAGCCACCACCAGTTGGTTTGGACCCATGGATCTTTCCTTTCCCCACCTGCATGTGGGGAGATCCAGCCACGGCAGCAATGGGGGGGGGATGTTGGGCGGTTTGCCAATAGCCCTGAAAAGAGGGACTTACGACTGTTTTTCACACTTATGACCGTTGCAGCATTCCCATGGATACATGATCAAAATTCAGATTGCTTGGCAACTGGCATGTACTTATGACAGTTGCAGTGTCCCGGAGGAGGGTCACGTGCTCCCCTTTTGCGACCTTTTGGCAAGCAAAATCAACGGGGAAGCCAGATTCTCTTAACAACCCAGTTACTAACTTCACAACTGCAGCGATTCACTTAGCAACTGTGTCAGGAAAGGTCGTAAAATGGGGCAAAACTCTCTTAACAACTGGCTTGCTTAGCAATGGAAACTTTGGCCTCGATTATGGTCGTAAGGCGAGGACTACCTATACTGCAATGGGGTCTTGATGGGGCTGCCCTTGAAGGTCAAGCTGCAAGTGGTTTGGCATGGGGGGGCAGGCCCACTGCTTTCTCAAACTGGGCAACTTTAAATCAGAGTGACTTCAACTCCCAGAATTCCCCTGACAGCATGGGAAATTATGGTTCATCGCCCAGTCAGCCAGATATTCAGACTGGATTTGGAATTCTTACCCACCTATCAAGTCCTTCCTAGAACTGGGATAATTATTACAAACTATTGCAATTTAGATGTTGTGAATATTGTGTGTGTTTTTTATTCCAGAGTCGCAAATTCCATCAGGAGAGTATTCATAGCAGAAGTTCCCATTATAGGTAATGTCCCCGACATCTGTCACGTTCTCTCATTCATTCACTTTCTGTTTGTATTAATTTGGGAAGAAAATTCATTGTGTTTACTTCGGTCTTATTTTGTGTTCAGCTATAGACTGGGTTCAGATTGACGCCAATTCGTCAGTGCTGCACGATGAGTTCATTGCACACAGATTAGGTGAGTACTCATGAAACAGAAGGAAAAAGCTTTTTTGTCTTGTAAATTTTCATTTTATTTCATTCAGAAAATGAAAAATACAAGGGAAAAAATTACAAAAAAAAAAACCAAAGGGAAAAAGCATCTCTAGGAATTCTTTAGATCAGTGTTTCTCAACCGTGCCAATTTTAAGATAGGTGGACTTCAGCTCCCACAATTCCCCAGCCAGCTATGCTAATTCTGGGAGTTGAAGTCCACATACTTTAAAGCAGAAGTCCCCAACCTTTTGGGCACCAGGAACCGGTTTCGTGGACAGAGGTTTTTCCGTGGACCGGACAGGGCGTGGTTTTGTGTGCTGCCTGCATCCCACGGATGGGGTCTCACTTGTTTGTGCGGCCCGGTTGCTGGCATGCCGCAGCCCGGTACTAGTCCATGGACCAGGGGTTAGGGACCCCTGCCTTAAAGTTAGCAAGGGTGAGAAACACTGATCTAGATTAAATTAGAATTATTACTATTTACACGTACTCTGCCAGATAGTTCTGACTGGATTAGAACTTTTGACTATTTTTCATCATCAATTAATTTCTCTCCCTTTAGGTCTGATCCCACTTACCAGCGACGGTGTGGTTGATAAGCTGCAATATTCCAGGGTGAGTCTAAACCAGCCATAAACTATATTTCTGGAGGATCACTATGAGCAGAGAGATAAAGACGGAGGATCAAAATTCCTTTTTCAATTCTTCTCCCAAGGCACCCTTGCTGCAGAATGCTAAATTAATCATAGGAGTAGTAATAATAAATTAAATTTACATGCTGTCCAACTCCCTGTGACTTCTTGTCCTAGATTGCACTTTTGGTATAGTGATTATTTATTAAATTTCTCTTCCACCAGCTTTGCTGGACTCAGGTTGGGCTTACAATACAATGCATTTTTTTTATAAAATGTCCGCAATGCCAACTTCCAACACAATGCGGTGCCATTAAATCACAATATAAAAACAACCAAAACAATTAACCAAAGATGAACAGTCTGGCTTTCTAGACTTTCAGAAGACCAGGCCTGTAATTCGCTTACATGTCTTTAGTGTCTAGGTTCGGCCTGCTTTATTTATTTATCTTGTGACGCATTCACATCATATGTCAGTAAAAAGGAACACGGGGTAAAATACAAAGCATAGAATATAAAATCTGAAATCTTAACAGGAAGATTACAAACTAAGTCACAAACATATATATATATATATATGCAGGTCTTTAGTTATTCGGGTTTTCTCCCGCGTAGAATTAGAAGTGTCCTGGCGACGTTTCGACGAAGTCACATTCGTCATCTTCAGGCTGGTGTCTTCAGCTTCGTGCTTCTGGGAGTAGAAGCACGAAGCTGAAGACACCAGCCTGAAGATGACGAATGTGACTTCGTCGAAACGTCGCCAGGACAC